CCTCTGGTCACGGCTTGTTTGTCAACCAGTTAGTACTTAACCTTGTTTTATGTGTTTCTGTGTAGACACCGTTCAGTAGTTGAATCATTAACATTGAATGCACGGCCAACTGCATTCTGACCCAGGCCTGTACAAAGCTGGGCTAAAGCGTCTATTGTTTATGCACTCAGTTTCTCAACTTCTTGACTTAGGGATATCAGATAGCCTTTCAGCACCAAGCTTGGGGAGCACCTTGAAACAGTAAAATCTTCATGAAGAGCACACCAATGGAAAACGTCAGGGTACACCTTGGGAAGGGCATTTCACAGCATGAGAGCAGAGCTGAACCAAAAGGCAGAGCGTCTGCTGCCTGGATTAAACATACATGGAGGCAATCACTGATGCCCATACTCCACATCTGCCCAAGTGCACCCATCCTGAAAGCAGCCAGAGTAGTAGTTTTGGGTTGCCAAATGTCAGCACTAGGCAGTTCACAGGCAACACATGTGTAGATACGTGAGTAAAACATGTGTAGACACGTGAGTAAAGTGGCCCCAGTTGTTGGGTACGAATCACCCTCCCCCAGCCGTCCAGATATACAGGTCATGTGGTTGAGGCACAGATGCAATCCCCCATAGAAGCTTGCTAAGGGTTGTGAAAGGAAATGACATTCCATCCCAGATCTTATCTACTTGAATTGTTTCCTGCAGATTAACCATTCATTTCACCAAAGGTTTATCATGGAGCCTCTGTGTGAGAAACTGGGTCAGGAGCTTTGGGGCATTGCAGAGATAAGCAGAACATCGGGGCCTTTGTCTGCTGGAGAGAAAGAGTGGGCATGGGCTTCTGTTCTGATTTCTCCAAGTCAGAGTAAACTGTGCCTTTAGACAACTAAGGACAGATGTTTTGGAGACACAAGAAAGGAGGGATTGCACCCAATCTGCTGTTCTGTAGCATAACTAGAATATCGCCCGAGCCTTGAGGGACATATTTGGAGAACAGAGAAGCAGAGTGGACGGAAGATGAGGCAAAGCTAAGGGCAGTTCCCCACAGAGGAGGTAGCAGGAGCCAAAGCCCTGAGGTGGGAGCCCCAAAACAACTAAGACCATAATAGCAGAGAGTATTGGGAGGGGCTGTAGAGAAATACAGTGCCATTTTACTTGAACTTTCCTCCCAGGCCACCAGTGGCTGTGACTGATTTCTTAGAATAAGGTTGTTATGTGACAGCAGTTAGGTGCTTCTGAACTCTGTAAACGTACGTGCCGATGTTTCTTAGACTAAGTACCATTGCAACCTTTTTTTTTTTTTTTTTTTTAAATTTTAGGTCAGTGCTTTTAGTATTACAACTTACAGACGAAGAAACAAAGTACAGAGAGGTTAAGTAACTTCCTCAGAATTCACAGCAGGAGGACCTGGGGCCAAAACCAGGAAGTCCTAATAACTGTTTTTTAACCTGGGGTTACTTTCTGGGTGTTTTAAGCTGCTTGCAGAATGTTCCATGTGTGCTGATGTGTTCATTTGTTTAAGATAGGGCCTAAACGTTTGCTCTATAGTTCCTGTATGCATGGTTCCCCATCTAAGGACTTGGCCTCTACTTTTGGTGCTATACTGCCCAGACAAAAAGGAAGCGTCAAAACAATCTGCGGGAATTCTTAGACCTGAACACCAGGCTGTTCCTGCTTGGTGAGGGACAGAGTACCTACAGAGAGTACTTTCCAAGGTAGACCAGATGGCAAGTCCTTGAAAGAGTAGGGGACTTGTCTCTAATGAGCAAAAATTATTCTTCTAATCTCAACAAAGCTAAATAAACTGAGGTCTTGTTTTAGAAGGATGCTTTGATGCTCTTCTGCTACAATTGCAAATTGGATATTCTCTAACTGCACAAGACTGGAAATTCCTTAGAGCCAAGGAATCCAAGACAGGCTCCAGGGTGAATGAGGGAGTCTAAAGAGCTGCCCCATTTATATAACCTAAGTGAGTTAATATCTTGTTCCAGTACTTTAATATTAGTTGTTTTAAATGTGTATGTGGCGAAGATATTGTGACATAAAATATTATGTTAGAATTAGAGGGATGGGCTCCCTACTTCCTAGAGTTTATTTTTCTTAATGGTTTCCTGGTCTTTGCTTTCTTGTTTCCTTTTCCTCCCCTCCCCCACCTTTGTTTTTAAGAATGAAGGTGTTCTCTTATGTATCCTTAACGTTATTATACAATAAATATCCAATCATGTAATCTGTATATAACTACTATGATGGCCATTTTTGGTTGTCAACTTGACTACATCTGGAATTAACTAAAGCTCATGTAGCTCAGTATACCCGTGAGGGAACTTTTATTTTGAATTAAATCATCTGAAGTGGGAAGACCCACTTTTAATCTGAATCTTTTGAGGTAGGAAGCTCCACCTTTAATCCAGACCTTTTGAAGTGGGACACGGAAGAAGGAAGCTTGTTGCTTGCCTCTCTCACACTTGCTGGCAAGTTCATTCCTCAATGGCATTAGAGCCTGCTTCTTTAGTGTTCTGGCATTTATCAAAGACCAGTTGAGACGTAATCAGCCTTTGACTGAATGACTACTGAATTCTTGGACCTTTCATTGGTAGACAGCCATTGTTGGACTATCTGGACCACAGCCTGTATGATGTATGTATGTATGCATATATATAATAACATATAGTATATATATTCATATATATGGTATAAATGGAAGTTCTGATGACACTTCACTGATAAAAACTGTTTCTCACCCCATCCACTATTTGGGAAAACTTAAGACTCCAAAGACTGAGCACACGGTACTATCCATTGGGACATCTGACCTGCTGTCTCTTATTCTGTAAGAGTAGCTTTACAACAAAGTTTTCTATGGGTATGGGGGGGGGGGTTGACTGCTCTTTTATTTTAGAGTTTTTTTTTTTTTTTTTAATTTAAAATCATGACTTGAGGTAGACAAGGAGAATGCAAATCAGTCACCGTTCTGACTCCCTTCTGAACAGAGAATGCTGTGGTAAAACTGGAGAGATGCCTTCAGTGCCTCAGAAGTAGTCCCTTTATCAAGCATACTGTACTGAAATAAAATGGCATTAAATCCACGAGGTTCGTTGGAAAGACGGGATAAGATAGAAATTGTTTTAGCTAATCATCTAGGCTAATCATCTTCCAGGGAACTTATCCAAGGTCTCGCTGAAGACAGGCTCCTTCAGCAGTGTTATCTGATGGGGATTTTGTTTCTTCTGAAAGCTAACCATTGTTCTGTTTGCTGGGGAGTAGGGGGTAGCAGGGAAAGACTCATGGCCAAGCTGTGCCACATAAAACGCACCTGCCAGCCTGGAATGCGGTACAGTGTGTATCGTGTGAATCCTTCACAGTTCAGAATGAGACATTGTGCTTTTGAACAAGCTGATCATCCCTCCTCTTAACTACTGAAGTTAGAGCCCAAGCATCCTCTAGGCATTTCGTTAGCATTGGCTTCTCTTTTGTTCTCATGTCTTTTGGGGGAGTTTGAAGCAGGGTCCCTCTATGTAGCCCTGGCTGTCCTGGAACAGGATTTGTAGACCAGGCTGGCCTCAAACTCAGAGATCTGCCTGCCTCTGCCTCCCAAGTGCTGGGACTAAAGTTGTCTGCCATCATGCTGAAAGATGTTGTTCCTGTGTCTAAATAACTCTAAAATAATGCCTGCTCTTGAACCATGAATTTGCATTCTATTCTTAAAGTCTTGAAAGAAAGATTTTATCCCTGTTTATTGATAGGTCACCTCACACACACACCTTAAGGGGTTCTTTTCTTAAGTGATTTGTAATATATTCACAATAACATGGCATACTTCTTTTTTGCAGAGAGCCGATTAACCTTTAAGTTTGATTAATTTTTATGTGTTCAAGATTATATTAAAGTATTATGAATTCTAGGATATGATTGCAAAAGTTATACTCAGCTAATTCAAGCAACTGAGCCTTCGTTTCAAGGTTGAGGCATACTCAATTGTTGTAGTTTTCAATCATAAGGTAATAAATCCCAAAATTTATTAATTAATGAGAGTAACATGTTCCTGAAAATTATACTAATTCTGCAGGAGACTCGAGGGTTCAGCCAAACTGTCTTCTCCCAATGACCTGTTCATGATTACTCCTTCTGTTACTAGCAGTGGCCAGCCCCAGTCATCCCCCACATAAATGGCACCGAGGACCTGCTTTAGTTAGACCTGCTCCTAACTGAACTGAAATATACTGTACTGAACTGAAATGGATGAGGAGTGTTGGAACGTTTACCACTGCTGAATTTATTGTGTCCTTCCTGGTATATGGCACGCCACATAATCCCACTGGTTCGAAAGACTATGCAGAAACCAGAAACCTTACTAAAGGCTCGTTCTTCTGTACAGGAGAGGCATGGGCCTGGCGAAAATGGCAGTCTCTGCTCAACAATCCCCACTTGTGTCCCCGCTCCCCCCCCCCCAAGCAAACAAACCGTAGATATGCTTTTTTCTGTATCTTCTCCCAGCAAATTACTTTGACTCCCGGCTGAAAATGTACTTGTTGAATTCAGAAGGCTGAATTAATTTTTTAAAAACTTAGGTAACATTTTGCTTCCTAAACAGTACCCTTCGTTTTGCTGTACTCTGCTTCATCTTATGTGTGTTTTACTCGTTTTCCGTTAACTCAAACCCTCATTTCCAGAAGGCAGCATACATCCCTCTGGCCTCCCACCATGGCAGGGTGATTCGAGTTGTGCTTCCAGCAGACACTGAGCAGCTTTGGAGATGCTACTCGTGGTCACGGTTCCAAAAATCAAGGCTGCAGTCTGATGACCCACGGTACGGGACTGCGTCGGGCACACTTGTTGTTCTCGGGTGCCCCAGTGTGGTAGTTGTATTAAGTGGCTGGACATCCTCTGTGTGTTCCTAGTCTTGATTTCCTCATTTGTGAGGTGGAGGACAGAAGAACACATACATCTTGGGACTGTCAAACAAGGGGCTTCAAAAAGTTTTAAAATGCGGGGATGCCGGGTGGACTCGTTCTTCGGTCATTCTTGGGGTTGGATTCTGTGGCCTCTAAGGGAGTGTATCTTCCTTGCTGCCTTCTGGTGCCAGCTGGTGGTGTCCCGGCTAGAGTGTCCTCTCCTCAGTCGGGAGACTTGTGTCCTCAGCCAGTGGAAGACCCACTGAAAGTCCAGACAGGATGTACCGTACGAGTGAGAAGCATCCTCACGCCGAGCGGATGACACTGAGGAGGTCTCCAAGGAGTTCCCAGCTTCCTGGCTTATCTCCTGTTGAGAAAAAAGAATGGGTTAGACGCGTGTAGAGTCAACAGCTGTGGGCTTGCTATCTACTCCTCCGTAGAACCCAAGCCCTTTGCCCAAAGTAGCCCAGCTACAGCCGAGCTTCCAGCCCCGTTGACTTGGACACACACACACACAGTCGTGTTTATGTGGTTGTCGGCTCTACTTGGTGTTCCTACCCTCATCCTTCCCGCTTCATGCTTCGTGGCCTCTTTCCTGCAGCTCTCCATTCCCGGCTGCCGTCTTCCTCCCTGTCTACTCTCCCGGGGCTCACATTAGCTCAGAGCAGACAGTGAGGCCTGGCTAGGGTGTTCTCTCTGTCTAACTGTCTCTTCCCCAGTCCTTCCCTTGCTCTCCTGGGGGACATTCTCTGTGCTCACCACAACTTCATGTTTCTGTAGCCTTGGATTCTGTAGGGGCTGACAGATATCTTCATTTTTTGGCGTTTTGTGCTTGGGCAAGTCTTGACAAACGTCATGTTTTTCATGCCTGACCCAAACTGTCTGTGGAGAGGGAGTACTGTTCAGGTGGACATCTTCCTTCTGAGTAGATTCAAGGAGTACATGGCTATCACATTGGCTACCCTTGTCCTTTTCTAGAAATGTCTCGAGTTTCTGTACTAGGTTATCCAGTTTACAGAGAGTCAGCTTTGTCCTATCTTCTGGCCACTTATCCATCCACTGGCCTTGGCCGTTTAGATCCATATTAGCTAGAGAGTTTGTATGGTCAGAGCTTGCATCAATATCCCAGGCCAGTGTGATGCTCAGCTTGCAGAACTGCTCTGGGTCACCTTCTGTCTGACCTCGTTTCCGGAAGAGTCTCCTTATACTCTCTGTTCCCCAGGTACCTTGGAGAGGAGGAAGGAGGTGGATGGTGGAATCCATGGAGGCTGTCTCCTCACATGAAATCATCTCCTCACAGGAGACCGTCTCCTCGTAGGGAAATGTGTTCTCGGGAGGGTAGTGGCCAATCGAGAGGCTCTGGTCGGATTTGCATTCGGAAACGGAATCCTCTGACCCACTGTAGTCACTGCTGGAGGGTGAGGCTGTCATGGTGCTCAGAGCTCCCAATCTCTTGTCTTCCTTGACTCAGGGAACTTCAGAAGGAAGAGAGTAATACATGATATTGGAGAAGGAAGGAAGGGTGTTGTGAGAACCACCTGTTTCTATTTGGAACTATCCCACTCCATACAGTGTGGTCCATCTGTTTGTACTTCCCGCCCTGTAAAAGCATGTCACAGTGTGATAAAAAAAAAAAAACAAAAAAAAAAACAAAAACAAAAAAAACCCTCTGGGCGTCTCTTCTTGGTGTCTCTCATTTGCTTGACAGTATTTGAGAGAATTTGTATCATAAAAAAGAAAAGGGAAAATTGAAAACGACAGGAAGGTGTGGATGGAGTATTGTATACTCTTAGTTCACTATCCTGAGGTCAGAGTAACCGATTTCTTAATAAATACATATATTTGTGCACATATGTACATATATACACATACCCAAGCACATGTGGTTCACACATCAATAGAAATTTACTATTAAACTTATAATATGCAGCTACTCTGTATTAGCTATTTTCTTATTAAAAGGAACATTAATATTAATACTTAATTTTAATTAAATACCCTATTAATATTAATTTCTTACTAAATAGCCCTGTTAGTACTCCTTAGCTTAGATGACTAATGACCACTAGTTTACTTAAGTCTGTTAAGTGGTACATGGAGTTAGTGGATCAGAGATCTCACATACATAGTCTTACAGCAGTTGATGCCAGATTGCGTTCTGGAAGAGTGACTGCCATTCGGGCCCCCGTCCTCCCAGCCCCCCACTCATAGTGTGTTTATTCTGTAGTCTCTGTGGCTCCCCTGCACGTAGAGCTGGAAGACCACGTACACACACTCACACGTGCCCATGCACATGCCTCTGCCATCCCCTGATGAGGGCTGCCCACACGAGACAGGCTCTTCCAGCTCCTGAGATGTAAGTGAGGGTGACGGAAACCCCTCGGGTCCCAAGTGTTAGTTCTGTAAAGCCCAACCGCTTCTGAGAAGTTTATGTTCCAAGACTGTTGGTCACCATGGCAACAAAGAACCAAGTTTATGGTCAGAAATGTGTAAAGGGACAGGATCTATCCCTTCAGTTCCAGAGTATTCTGTGTACTTAACCACAGTGGCCTGAGATCATTAGAACCAGTCAGATCCATAAGATCTTTCCCAAACGTTTCACTTGCCCAAGATTGTAGTTAAGGTTCACCACGAGTCACACTGTGGTGCTGGCTTCCGTTTCAGGGCTCTGTTAAATTAGATTGTTGTGAGTGTTGATGGCTTGATACAGGACACAGGCCTAGCTGGAGGCTTTCTGCTGTCCAGCAGATACAGCTTGGCAAGGGCCTCTGATTGCTCCAACTTCAGTACTTAGCTGTGAGCTGGGTCTTGTGACAACCCAGTCCTGAGTTATCCTCGGAAGGAATGCTGGCTGTAGCCTTGACTGTTTTTCTGAAGGAGTCAAGGTACGAGTGGTTCTATGCACATTCACCTTCCCAGGCCATATCCTCGAGAACCTGAATTCAGACAGGCCATGCTCCGAGCACCCTTAGTCTCCAGTCTCTGCACATCCTGTCTCTGGGGAGGTCCTCCACACACCACCTCCTGACGTCCAGTCCAGTAAGGTGATTCAGTTCACAGGCAAAACCACGTCCTGGTTCCTCAGGGCACCGTGTGCTCCAGGAGACAAATTAGTGTTGCGTAAGGACCACGTGTGGTGCAGGGAGGGTTAAACCATCCAGCCTCGGCGGCCTCGCTCTCCTGCGGGCTAGGCTGCTCCGTGCTGACGTTTGCACTCCAGAGCACTAGGGCCTCCTCAGGAGGCCCCCTTACCCACTTGAAGACTTGAAAGCTGTGCTGCTCTGCCTCCCGGGAGCATAGGGCCCTGTGAACCGGATGTGGATAATGGAGAGGAGAACATGGTCCTGCAAACATGAGAGACCTCAGAGACATCTGCAGTTTTCGCTTTCACCCTCCCTTGTGCTCCCCTCTGGAACTCCAGCTACTTTCTCTACACGTGTGTGTGCGTACACGCGTGCGCGCACACACGCGTGCACACACTTCCTCATTTTACATGTATAGTTCAGGTTGTGAAAGTCCCTCATCTCTAGCCTCCGAGCTAAAAAAAAAAAAAAAGATAGTCACTGCTAATAGTTTAATATCTATTACTATGATAACACATATTAACACATACATACATTTACTGAGAGTTTTGAAAAGCCATGATAAAATAGCGGCGGCTCTGTTACCCTTAGGCTGGATGGCCTTCTGTCTGTTCTAAGTTTGCTGTTGATCAGGGTTTGGAGTTTTCAGCAACAACTCCTGCTGTGTTAGTTTCTGAATTGGACTTGCTGGTCTAGCTTCTCTTGTACCTACCATTTTACTGTCTCTTGAAGCAAGACCACCCATAAATAAAACTCAGGATTTTAACAGTGACACTGTGCCATGAACTTAAAGTAGTTTGGGCCACAAGCTGGCTACAATGGTGAATGAGAACTGGAACACTTCCTAAGAGCCATTGACTTGAAACCTAACTTTGTAGAGAAGGAAGCTTCGGATTTGGTGATTATAAATTTTGTGTCAATTCGATCAGGCCATAGAGTTTTTAGATACAGGGTTAACATTATTCTGGGTGTGTCGGGATGAGTTTAGCGTTGGGTCTGATGGGCTGAATAAAGCAGGATGCCATCCCTGGGGCTTGTCTCTTTTTATGTATTGAGCTCTGCTGTTGTTTCTGTGTCTCTAAAGAAAGAGGGTACCTACCCACTTACTGAGCTATTTTTGAAATTAATGAAGTATTTTAGCTGGCCCTGAGGTACTTACCTGTAACCCAGCCCCTGGGAGACCAAGGCAGGAAGACTGCATGTAGCTCAGGCTGGCCTTGAACTTGTGATCCTCTTGCCTCAGCTTATATGGGATTATGGCTCATTTATTTATAGATATTTTTAAACCTGACAGTTGAGTGCCTATCAGACTCCAGATCCTACGTCCTGCCACTTGTAGCAATAACAAATTTATTTTTCCGGTTAACTTATTGGTGTGTGTGTGTACACCTCATAGGTGCAGGCCTTGGTCTTGTGAGTAGCATTTAGATGGCTGTGAGCCTCCTGACCTGGGTGCTGGGAACCTAACGGGTCCTCAGCGAAAGCAGTCAGTGCAAGAGCCATCTCCCCAGTCCTGTTTGTGACACCATCCTATTCATCTGTGAAACACAGGTAGTGACTTCTTCCTTGGAGAGATTTTGGGGGTGATTGCAGATTGTATGTAGAATATTCAATACAGTTTATTTTCACTCCTTGATTAAGCACACAAACCTCTCCCTCTGCCTTGCATTGGCAGGACCACCCTCCTCTAGAATAAAAAGATTTATTCCAATATTTCAGACATAGAGTAATCAAAATCATGTGCATATATTAATCACAGTTCTGGTCATGTGATGGCCACCTCTGCAAAAGCAAGGTGGCTGAATGTTCAAGTTCATGTCTGCTCTGCCAGCATGGCACCAGACAGCAAAAGCCTGAGACTATAGGAGTCTCAGTAAAGGAACTTCCAGAGTCAGTGTCCTCACCCACTGCGGAGACGCCCTTCCTGAGCGCATCCTGCCATTAGGACGAAAGAACCAGAAGGAATCTTTTGGGTAGGAGGGCGCCTCCTCCTCTGGATGTTCAGCTTGGACAGTTCACTCCTTGACTACACTCTAATGTGGGTGCAGTGTTTCTACCAACACCAGAAATGTTTGAAGGGAACGGCTGGGGGAAGGGCTCAAAGGAAACAAACCAAAGAGTGGAATTTCCTTAGGAGAGTAGTAGCAAAATACTTAACATGCGGAAGATCTCTGTTCCATCTGGTCCTCTGGGCACCGTTGGGGGAATAAGGGTGGGGGTGGGGGTGAATGAGGGGAGGGCAGAAATGCTCAGGGATGACTATCAAGAAGGAACACAACTAGGCGCAGAGGCGCTGGCACCCGGTGCCCAGGCTAACCTGATAGAAAGTGGGGCTCGGGGCTGGGGGTGTAGCTCAGTGGTAGAGCACTTGCCTAGCCCATGTGAGGTAGGAAGGAGGTAGCCCACCTACAGTGTTTCTTGAATATTGGGAACCCGGGCAAAAAGTATCTGAAGAGTACGTGGCAATGACTGTGAACAGCAGCAGACAGCAGGAATGCCTGTTGTAAATCGTAATTATTCTCCGTTTAGTCAGAAGGGATCGGGGACCCGGGATCCGGAGCAGAGCAGACAGGCCGAGGGTGAGCTGGGCAGGCTGCAGTAGGCTGGCTCTGCCTGTCTCTGGCTGTTATCACTGAGTACCACAAAGGCCTCCCTCACAGGCCTGCTCCAGCCAGAATTCCCTTCTGCTAGCCCAGTGCTGCACATCTACCCAGCCCGTCGGCACAGATAAAGTTTTCTCTACATTCCCCGAGGCCGAGAGAAAAGCAGCTGTGGGGGAGGCTCCCCACCTCTGGCTCACTCGGGTCTCCCTCGGCATCTGTGAATAGCTGCTGTTGTGTGTGTGCACAAGGACCCCCATTCATTTGAGGACCACTGCACACATCCCTTGGGAGACAGTTTATTGCCCCAGGTGAGGCCAGTTAATGAAAATGATACTGATTAACAAATACTACAGATGAGTCTTTTTTAAAAATCTTGCAAAATCAAAAATGAATGCTCAGAATTATGTTTTAAAAGCCTCCACAACACGCTGAAGAAAAATTAGACGCTACGGGAGAATTATTTTAAGGGAAGTATTTTAAATCCTCTTAAAAACAAATCTTTCAGGGATACAAGGTCATTGGTAGTTGCCCGGAGCTGGGACAGGGTGTGGTATTCTCTGCAAATGGACTAGGTAAAAATCCATCTGTCAGTAAAAGACAATTTGAGGTACAAGTGTGATCATTAACTTTTAATTTTCTTTTTTATCTGAGACAGTGTCTCTCTGTGGCTTTGGAAGCTGTCCTGGAACTAGCTCTTGTAGACCAGGCTCGTCTTGAACTCACAGAGATCCTCCTGGCTCTGCCT